GGATTTATCAACCTTCTAGAGCCACTTGCATCCTCTGGACCTCTTCCAGCCCCAATGGCCCTCTTTCTCTCTTTCCTTTCCTGCCACATCATTCAAGGATTGGATTATATCCTGTTGTCTGCAAGAGACAGACCAGGCTGTCCTGGAAAGAGATTAGTGTTTAAACCTTGTTTTCTTTCAGCATCTAAAGAGGTGCACTTGATTAAGAAATACATAGAATAAGACGTGCTCTATTTGCCATAGCTTTTTGACTCCCTGAGAAATATATGAAATGATTGCTGATAATTTTGAGAAGAAATATGAATTTAGTACCAGAACTACAAAATTAGGGGTTACTCCCAAGATTTAGAACTGAGGACATAAGGTGAACTTGAGGATCATATCTGGTCCTGAAAAATGCTACCCTCATCGTTCCAAAACTAAAAAAATAAACTGACTACCATCGAGTTGATGCTGACTCATAGCAACCCTATAGGACAAGATAGAACTGCCCTTGTGGGTTTCCAAAACTGTAATTCTTTATAGGAGTAGAAAGCCTCATATTTCTCCCACAGAGCGGCTGGTAGTTTCAAACTGCAGACCTTGGGGTTAGCAAAGTTTATTTTAGTGGTAGAACTCCACTAGAACATAGGGTGTCATCCCAATCAGTTCATTCTGTAGGAAGTTCCTACTGACAAGGTGTATAGGAGATTTGGCCCTAAATCCCAGTCACTTTTATTTAAGCCACTTCTCCAGGGTGAATGCCCAGCTGTCCCTGTCCTCCTGTTAATTACAGTTGAATGGCTAAGCATCCTTAGCTCAGCATGTGACATCCCTGTGTTGGCCAGGTGTTCAGTGACCTCATTCGGGATGTTGGTGTTTTATAACTACTTCATGCTTTGTTCTATTTAGTTATTTTAACCTTTTCATTGTGAATTAGGTGAAGGTTTACTGCATACTGTAGCATATATTTGTGCTCTCTATAAAATTGAGGTCTAAAAAGGGGTTTTTGACTGGTTTCGATCTTAACTAGACCAACGTAATAGTAGTGTCTTAAGGCTCTGCAAGCCTCACAGAATCCTAGACACAGCTGAGTGCTTCTTGTATGTGCTTTGCATATGCTTTGAAGTGACTGATTTTCCCTGACAGGAAAGCATTCTATGGGCTTTTCTCTTCAGGCAGGAGAAATCGAACAGCAGAAGCAAAGCAGAGCTGCGGGAATGAGCGAGAAGTAGGGAGAAGCC